AAAATAACTTACATTGCTGGTATGTTATCATTGCACAAATTAACACACTCTCTACGATTAAAAAAAAAAATTAGAAGAGTTCTAAACTAACGCGCTGTCTTTACTGTATCTAACGCACACACGCGTCAAGGCTGATTTAAGGCTGATTTACTTAACGCGTCCGCAAGTTCGCTTAGGTGCGCGCGGCTGGACTTTCTGCGCAGCTTTGCTTCCGAAGATGCACGAGTTCAAAGCGACTCTAGCCGAACATGCACGTCTGTGCCAGCGTTTGTGTGAAACAGAAGCAGTTTGGTGCAGTCACTCACACAGATCACGCTGAGGCCGCACTCAGACATTCAGGAACAAACTTTTTAGCGCTGCCCCGCAGTTTTATCTTGCCAGGTTGACAAAGGTAAGTAGCACACTTCGCAGATATTTCCGTATTGCGCAAGTGTAAAGCTCTGTTTCGGGGTTTACGTCTCTTTATATCAGGCAACCCAGTTGTTCCCCTGCGGCCAGATTAAACCTTGTTGTAGCCTATAAATGCTCTATTCATTCTTTTTTAGAAACCTCACACTTTTCTACTCAATTTTAAACGTTGATTTTGACCCATCTCTACAAAATAATGGATTACTCTGTAAATATACATTTGTGACATTTAATATTTTGGCTTTCATCAACATACGTGTTTTAGGCTTGCCGTGATAGACGGTGCTGATGGTGATACCGGTGTTAAGCCGCAACACTGTCTCCCACCGTCGTTTTGATTTTTTTATAGTAATAAAAATAATTTCGTTCAGTAAAAGAACAGACACTACAATTAAAAACTGAACGCGGATGCTCAATGCAGCGTGCCGAACGACAGTCGCATCACAGATCAGATTTCATTTATCCAAAAGTGAAAGTAAAATGTGCACGGCGCTTTTAAGCTATTTAAAAGTGAAGGAAAGCGAGGAAAAGAAGGAAAATTCAAACGAACTAAAAACGAACAATTGCTTTACTCCGAATTGCCGCTATTTGAAAGTTAAAGTAAAATGCGCACACCACTTTTACAAGCCACTTAAAAGTGAAGGAAAGCGAGGAAAAGAGGGAACGCACCCGCGGCGATACCGGTGTTGTCACACGTCGATTAACCGGTGAGAAAATTTCCTCACCGTCACAACCCTAACGTGTTTATCTTTCTTCCGAAAAAATATTGACAAAATCAAAAATTTGAGCTGGGGAATTTCTGTAATTTGGTTGATTTGACATGGAATGACCCAAATGTCTTATATTAGCAACACTTCAACATTTAAAAATACCACAAATATCTGCCAATGGAGTCAGAAAAATCAACCTAATTCAAAGAGAAAGAAGTTTTTACTCCCCACTGACAATGAGGGTATCATGTTTTGGTATAAAAGGCGCATCTCAATCTTTGCAAGCAAGCTGGATCATGGCTCATCACTTTGTACCAAATTTCATGAGAGGAGTGTCAACTGTCAAGCAAATCAAAAATCACATTTCTCAATGCAAAATCGAAGAAGCCACATGGGCTCAGAAGTACTTCGGAAAACCATTGTCACTTAACACAGTCTGCTGCTGCATCAATAAATGCAACTTGAATCTCTGTTACTCTAGGAGAAAACTATACATCGATTCTATGCAGTGATGCCACGGGGTTCTCTGGGCCAGAGCTTATCTCATATAGTCAAAAAGACAGGGGAAATGTGTGCTGTGGTCAGATGAGTCCACATTTCAACTTGTTTCTGGGAAAAATGGACGTTGAGTTCTCAGTCCCAAAGACCATCCAGACTTTCACCAGCGACATGCAAATGTCTGTCATGGTATGAGGGTGCAGCCGAGCAAACGGCGTGGGTGACTGGAATATGTGCAAACAAAGGTACCATTAACATATATTGGAATTGTACAGAGACATATACTACCATCAAGAAGACGTCTTTCCATGGTTATTAAATCAAGACAATGCCAGGTCTCTTTCTGCATGTGCTACAACAGCGTGGTTTTGTAGACAAAGAGTGAATGTGCTTGACTGGCCTGCCTGCAGTCCAGATCTGTCTCCCATTGAAAATGTATGACCAGTCATGAAAAGGAGAATCAGACAACGACGATCAGAGACTGCTGAGCATCTGAAGTCTTGTATCAAGTATATCATATTTCTTAAAAATTACTGAATTATAGAGCTCTCTAATTGTAATTGTTACTAGTAAGAATTGATTTAGAGCTCTTTAATTGGCATAGTTCATAGTAAAAATTTAATTGTTGGGCTATGTAATTGAATTGTTACTAGTAAGAATTGATTTAGAGCTCTTTAATTGGCATAGTTCATAGTAAAAATTTAATTGTTGGGCTATGTAATTGAATTGTTACTAGTAAGAATTGATTTAGAGCTCTTTAATTGGCATAGTTCATAGTAAAAATTTAATTGTTGGGCTATGTAATTGAATTGTTACTAGTAAAAATGCAATTATGACGAGTTGCGCTGGGAACATTTTAAGCTAAAACGGCTTGCCATAATCGAAATCCTGAAAACACTGATGAATGCTTCGAGTTCACATTTAAACAAGAGAAATGGTAAAAACACTGCCAGTTGATGAAAATAGTGAGAAATGCCTGACAACTTTACAAAACACATAAAAACGCATTGCTAATGACTGAACCGATGCGAAATGTGACCTACATTTGTTCAAAATAAAAATCACAATTATGCAAACTCAGTCAGATATGAAGTTATATAGCTCATGTTTAATAAGATCAACTACATATTAGATTAAGATGAATATTTATGAGCTCTCAGTGAATAACGCGTGTACTATAAACATAAACCGCATTTATTTTTCTGACACATTTTTTGTTCAGGTGAACAGATGAAGCCTCCATCCGCGCGGAGAGCGACGACAGTCATCCTCATGCCACGAGAATCGCGCTGTTGACGCGTTGTTCACAGATGACAATATCGCGTTAGCTCGACGCGGCTACAGCTAAGCTAACAGAACCTAGCGAACTAATGCTTCCACTTACGTTACACTCACATACGACATACAAACTATGTAACACACGCGGATCATCGCCGTTTCTCTTACCTGAGCCAGCCCACTTACAGCCGCACCATAACTCGCGCCGATATTTACAATTAGTTGGACAAAATCTGCATTTATCGCGCCAGATTTAGATCGTCTGCTTCAGTTGCTTCAGCTGGTACACCCAGCAGTCAAACTAAGCTTGGCGGTGTCCTGTCAGGACGCGTGCTGATTGGATACACGCGGTGTGACGTCTCGCATTCACGCCTCATACGTAACACATCGAAATCCAACATGTTTGTGATACTCTTTAATTTTAATTTCATCCTTTGTTGTTTCAATTTATTGTTATTGCTGTTTCAGTTGTGCTTGCTGAGGAAAAAAAGTCAGAATTTTGAGACAAAAAAAAAAATTGCAATTGCCTTTTTATATGTTTATTCCATGGCGAACATAAGCTTCCAAATAATGAAACAAACAAATCAAACATAATGACAGAAAGCTCAATCAGTCTGACGAAAACCCCAAATTAAATTATCATAACAAGCAAATAGGAACTTTAGTAATATTAATATGTGGTTAATATAGTAAATTTTTAAAGGCTGCACTGCGAGTCGGTTCTACCGAATCATTGAAAGAATGATTCATTCGAGACTCGGACATCACTCAGTCTGAACTTTGCATGGGGTATCTTTTCTGCTATTTTACTAAAGATATCTGTATGTAAATGCATAATGTTATGGATGTGATGTGTATGTAACCAACCTCCGCTCTCTCTCGTGAAGCCAACACGGAAATGACTTAAACTGTAATTCGTCAACTGGCCGCTAGAGGCTGGCTGCAAAAGGGAGTCAATCCCATAGACTCCCCATGTTAAAATGCCCAACTTTACAGCAGAAAAAAACATGTTTACAGCCTGGTTCAAAAAATGATTTTGGTATATATAGCTAATTTTACAATAACTCATCCGTTTAAATTATATTAAGCCTTAAAATTCTGCATAATTAAGGGCGTGGCCACTTGAGTGACAGGTGGATTGCCGCTGCGGTCACCACCGTCGAGCTAGGTGGGCGTGGTTTCAGCAACCAGCTCCCGCCTTTTTGCCCATTTTCGATTATCCGGGAGTGACACGCGGTGAAGCGCTGTCAAGATGGCGACGGCCAGCTCCGCCCACTTTGAGCTTCAAAAACACTTCAGAAACCTACGGGTGACGTCACGGACACTACGTCCATGTTTTTATACAGTCTATGTATGTAACACGCAGATTAGCTTCTTTCTTTAAATGACCTGATTAAATCTCTGTTTCTATGGTCTGTTATTAAGCATGTTGAAACATGTCAGAGATGCAGTATGCATTTTGGCATTTTAAAACATTAATTTTGCACATGCGCACACTCGACCAATAGACTGCATTACATTGACCTACAGTAGTATATTTACATTCACAGTAGTGGATGAACGGCTCTTTATAGCTTTCCGCGAGGGTGACTAACACATTTTGGAAGCTAGAGCCTGTCTACAAGATGCCTCTATGCCTTTAAGTGGTCAGTCTTTTCTGACTGGTGTGCAGCATGGAACGAGGACCCCGTCCTCTTGTGACATGTCATCTGTGCTAACCTTTCTGCAAGAGCTGCTGGATAAGGGGTGTACCCCTTCCATACTCAAAGTGTATGTGGCAGCCATCACGGCGAATCATGCTCTCATGTCTGGCCAGTCAGTTGGCAAAAACTACCTTGTCGTTAAGCTCCTGAGGGGAGCTCAGATACTGAATCCACCTCGTCCTCATACTGTGCCAACATGGGACTTATCCACAGTCCTTAAGGCCCTATGACGCCCTCCCTTTGAGCCACTCCAGTTGGCCGAATTGCGGCCCGTCACTTAAGAGTGCCCTCCTTCTGGCTTTAGCGTCAGTCAAGTGAGTGAGCGATTTATAAGCGCTGTCAGTCAGTGCTTCATGCCTTGAGTTTGGGCCTAACGACTGTAGAGTTGTCCTCAAACCAAGACTCGGCTATGTGCCTAAAGTGCTCTCCATTCCGTTCAGAGCACAAGTCGTCACCCTTCTAGCTCTTCCTAACCCAGAGGATGAGCAGCGTCCTAATTTACTCTTAGAGAATTCTTCATTTGCTCTTAAGAGTATATGTAAAGCACTCTAGCCACTTCTGTCATTCAGAGCAGATCTTTGTATGCTTCGGAGGTTGCTCTAAAGGGCTGCCAGTTACGAAGCAGAGATTATCCTGCTGGATAGTTGATGCTATAGCCCTGGCTTACGCCTCAGTGGGCTTACAGTGTCCTATTGGAGTGAGTGCCCACTTCACCAAAGGAATGACCTCCTCCAGGGCTTGGACCAGTGGAGTTTCTGTTAGTGATATCTGTGCGGCTTTCGGCTGGTCTCCGGCTGGTTCATCAAAACATTAGCGATGCATCGGTTGACTGGCCATAAATCGCAACCGGACGTTTTTGCTTTATTTCGGCCGATCAAACAAACTGCATTTCATTCATTTTCCAAAAATAATTTGTGTTGAAATATTACGAGGTCTGTAAACAGGACGTTAACAGAGGCCAGAGACGCTGAAAACGGACACAAAAATGGAGAAAATACTGTAGCAGGCAAAGCAAGGTCACTGTTCATGATGCTTAAAATATTGGAAGAGAATCCTAAATATTGAATTGGGGGTAGGAGTTGTATGAATGTATCTCTGAGGGGAACTGACTGTCTTTAGAAAGTTTCAATGGTATTTTATTTTCATCTTGCCTCTGTATAATGTATATTAAAGTAGTATTTATATGCACAGCACTGCTTTGTTTACAGTGGTAACCAAGGAAAAGCTGTATCGCTGCTGTCACCTGCTGTCAGAGTGAATTTCATTTAGCTCGTCTGCTGTTTTTGTTTTGTGCAGGTCTGATTTATTTAGCATATTTTCACAAAGCCAAAGTCAGACCATTCTGTTTTTGCTTCAAATTTTGAATTTATACAATCTAATTTAATTCAAAAACTGCTCATGCTACATGTGGCATCTTTGTTTGTATCATGATTAAAATTCAGTGGTTGCCTCTAATTTTTAATGCAGACAGTTCTGCCTGTAAACATCTTGTTAATGTACTCATATTTTAGTTCTTTCTTGTCTTTTGCCTAAAACAAAACTAATATTTTTAAAAATTGGCTATTGGTATCAGAATCGGCTCATTTGCTTATAAAAAAATCAGCAATCAAAATCAAGATCGGTGTATCTCTAATGGACATATTTGACGTCCATTAGAGACATTGTGCCTCACTTTTTTTCTACTGTCCAAAATGTTTTTTAATTTTTGTGAACAATCCCTTTAACTATATATCCTATACATATATCTATATATTATCTAAAACAGTTGATACAATCAGCTGTGCCATTATTTATACAATTTACTTAAGTAGTTTTAATATCAGTTGCTTTAAAACTTTTACTTAAGTATTTTTCTTATGAGCAACTTTAACCTTTACTTGAGTCAATTTCCATAAAGCTATCTGTACTTTTACTGAAGTATAACAATTGGATACTTTATACAACACTGGCTGCATCTTTGATTATAAGATTGTTAAATATATGTCATTGAAACACCCTTATTTTTATCATAATGTCACCCTTATTGTGTACAGTAGTTTTGGCCCTGCAAATATGTAGCTCATATCCTTCAATGTAATCACTTATTTAACACATAAAGAAAACCCTCAATGATTGGAGTGAGGTTTTTAATTGTATTTTTTTACCTAATTGAGAATTAAAAGTCCAGAGAAATGATTCTGAATATTCCAGTTACATCTATGATTAATTTAACCTATCATCCCAATGAAGAACTGCCACCTTGTGCTTAGAACTCAACTTCAGCATGAATCATGAATGAATACAGTCAAGCTTTAGTTCTTGTGCTGTGAATCATCTTCAGTAAACTCACACATCTGCATGTACCAAAATCTGCAGTGCAAAAGCTTCTCATCGTCATAACGGGTGCATTATTTGGCTTGTCTGCTGACATCTGCTCCTTTCAAGGCACATGTTACACAAATAAATAACATTTGGTCATATATAACATTATTACACATGATGACGTTATAGAAGCTGGAGTCTTTTTTTTTTTTTTTTGCAAGCTGTGTCCTTTTCTTTCACTACCGTGTAAATATTTCATATATTAATGCTCTGCCCTTCTGTTTCTTACAATCTGTTTGTCATCAATATGATGCATTAATGTGAGATGCGTCATTCTAACACAGCTCATCCGCATGTGGCGTTGGTTCAGGTGAGTGGTTTCCTCTCAGCCCGCGGGATGCATTTGAGCGTAGCGGCTCTCCATAACACCGGAGCAAGGAGGAGACTTAACGTGGTGACGCTGAGAACCAACAGATACACCTGTGAGCAACAACAGAGGATGATGATGAGCTGAAGGACATGTAGTGTTATTTAAGTTTCATTTATATACTTTTCTATTTACTTATGCACCAAAAGGAAAACGAGGATGCACTTGGCTGAAAACCAAAAATAAATTTTATATAATAATCAATTAATTAATTAAATGTGTTTGATAATCAACACTCATAAACAGAGTTGTACAAATATTTAAATTGCACACAAGGCTGTTTTTATATCATCTTTAAATAACAGAATAATTTTTCTACTCAAATATGTTGTTGAAATATAAACATTCAAAGGGAAACTGTAAAAATAACTTTTCATGACAGATTTATTCAAACATACATTAAATAATGAAGACAACAGCTAAAGTAAAAATATTATGAATCTGTAATATCTATAAAGTGTATATATTTATCAAAATGCTCCTTTATAGAGCTTTTTATCTGACTAACGTGTTTATGGACATTGAATGGTTTTCCTGAGGTAAATGTGATGTCATGTCTATTGGCATCTCTGCATAGTTTATCCACATTGTGTTCCTGAATTAGACACTGACAGTCAAAACATTCCATCGGAGAAACACTCATTTAAAACGGTTTCAGCCAAAAACTTTCGGTTGTCAAAATCTTTGTCCATTACTAATTAAAAAAATTAGCTTTTATTTGTATATTTTCAATTTTTATTTAAATTTTTGTTGAAATTTTAGTAATTTTTTGTGCTTTTATCTTTTATATTAGTTTATTTCCATTTAGCTTTAATTTATTTGTATTTCAGTTTTAGTTTTAGTAATTTTAGTACATCAACTTATACTTTAATTTCAGTTGGCTAACCCAGGCAAGATTTCCAATTTCCACTTTTTAAGCTTAGGTTTTTCATCTAATATT